GGTAGGACAGTTCAATCACCCTCTCTACTATTGCTAGGAGTCTTAGGTGGGGTCTTCCTTGCGGATTCTTGGGAGTTATACTAGCAACAGGTTTCTCTCTAATCCCATAATTAAGATATCTTTTTCATTCCTCTTCCACTGTATCCCTCCCCATCTAGGCCATCTTGTTCCCTCCAGTTCTTATCATTCTTCCCCTCCTTTTTACCTGCCCCCTCAGTTTGCCCTGTAGATATCATCTAATTTCTCTTTCCAGGGTAATCCATGTATCCCTCTTGGTGTCCCCCTTGTTACCTAGCTTCTCTGGAGCTGTGGACTTTAGTCTGGTTATCCTTTGCTTTACATCTAATGTCCACTTCTGAGTGAATATACACCATGCTTGTCTTTCTGGGTTGTGTTACCTTATTCAGGATGTTTTTTTCTAGTTCCATCTAGTTCCTGAAAATTTCATGAGGTCATCATTTTTTACTGCTGAGTAGTACTCCATGGTGTAAATGTACAATATTTTCCTTATCCATTACTCAATTGAGGGGCATCTAGGTTGTTTCCAGGTTCTGTCTGTTATGAATAATGCTGCTATGAACATTGTTGAGCGTTTCTAAGAAAATTGGGAATAATCTACTTAAAGACCCAGCACTCATTGGCATTTACCAAACAAGACTCAATCATTTTTTTTGAGGAAGAAAAATTTAAAATACAATTATATTTTCAAATAACCCATTTGTAGGGATTTGTGTGTTTATGTATTGAAATTTTACAGGAACCGGATTTAAATTATTCTTTGATTCTCCATGAGCTCAATTTGTTCAGTACCTAATTGTACTCTTGAAGTCCAAAGCTTTGAAACACAAGCATAGTCACTGAAAGTACAAATAACTTAGGCAACAACCTCCTTTCGCAAATGACAGGGAATGATTCCATGCAGGTCCAGGCAAGCCTGTCATTATACAGCTTTCTCCAGTGGCCTCCAGCATAGAGAGCCATGGAAAGCTGGTGAGGTTTTCTAACAAGAAAGGCTGAGTAAACTTTCCTATGTTGTATGCTGCATCTGAAGACTGGTGCTTCAAGCTCCTGGGCACTTTAGCATGTACCACTGCTCTGGAAACTCAAGATGGACTGGATTAGCCTGAGCTCCTAGGAGTAGATTGGGGAATGCCTAATCTACTGGACTCTTTCCTTAACTCCTCCCTCATTAATGTTTTTAAAGTCTAATGAAAAGATATTTAAACAACATTTTTTTCCTTTAGAATTAAAAGATCATTGGGAGAAAAGATTTATATAGCTACAGAAAACTCATTTTAAAGTGCAGGCAGGAGACATGTTCTTCTAGGAAAAATCAGATACACAAAAGAGTAAACTTGAAATAATCTTAAACCTCAGCTTGAGTGCTGTCAATCTGAACTCAGATTCTTATGCTTGTTCAGCAGGCACTTTATCCCCAGAGCTGGTGCCTCCACCATCACTTTTCCCTATGAAGAGCACTTCTGCTTCATCAACCACAGCTTCAGCTAACTGAATTCAGTCTGGTTTGTTTGTGTACGTAATTGATAAGTACTTGAGCAAGTACTCATAACTGTGAAAGGTCTTTCAGAGATTTGAGTTTGGGATTGGGTATAAAAATGTAATGACAGAAAAATTCCTATGAGCAGTAACGTGCATGCTATTCATTTTTTTTAACTCTGCTTTGTTTTATGTTTTGCTAGAGTTCTTTTATTTTCTTCTAATTTTATTCTCAAATTGCAATGATCCTGTCTTTTTTTTTTTTTTTTTTGCAAGCTAGCCTATGTTGTTTTGGGAACACATAGGTCCACATAAAACCTGACAACAGTTTTGCCTGTCTCAGCAGTCAGCAAGGAGTCACTGGTGTGTGGGGTGGTGGTGGTCAGCTTTGGTGTTTATGGATTGCCAAAGCTCTGGTCTGCAGGTGTAAATGGGGCTTCACATTGCATTGCTACACTTGGGGTATCTCCTTAACCTTTGACACCAGGCTCAGTTTAGTCCTCTTTCGAATGAGTGGGAACTAGTGGTCAGTTTGTGATAGGCATCTACTTGGAGTTTCCTGAAAATTCTGGCTCCCTTTCCAATTCTTGAGCGAGCGTCTCTTTCCCAGACTCCTACAGTAGCCTCAGCTACTCAGCACCTGAGTAGCTGGTTTTTCATATTTGCTGTCCTTCCCCCATTTCTTAATTTTTTTAATTCTCTAGGTCTTTGAACATTTTCCCCAGTCTCTCCAATTTCTTGAATCCAGAATGACATTCTACTTCATCTTTTCCCATCTCTATGGTGGATCAAACTCACTAAATGTTTTCCTTTGGGGATTTTCAGTTTTTTTTTTTTTAACATTTATTTTTAGCCTACTGTAGTGCTGTTAAATCCAGACTTCCTCCCAGTTAATCCTGAGTTTCTGTGGATTATCTCATCATCATATCCAAACATACTTTCCAAATATACAGTCTTCCTCTTGGCATGGGTCAATCCCCCTGATCTTTTATGAGCCGCACTGAGATCTTTGAAGTAGAAAGAAGTCCCTCTCCCCACTGCTTGCAGCTGGCAGATGCACAGCTGCCTGGGGCTGATGGGGGGATGGGCAGGCATCATTGCCAAATAACTGTGGCATGGTAAACAATGCAGAGTACCTTGCCAAAGCCTTTGCTCTTTGTTCTTTGGCTCTGAAGGCAATGAGGTAAGCTATTACAAAAAGCTTCATTTGTGAAAAGTTAGCATCACACCAATTAAGTGCAGAATCATCTTTGTTAGAGTATCCAACACAGTTTTATAAGGAAATCATTGTCATTCTGTACTGACTGTAGATATCCTGTTGGCTGGGAGAATTTATTTGCTCCGACTTTCCAAAATTAATGCAGATAAATCTAAATGGAATGCAGCCACCACTGTGGGTCCTGCCAGAAGTACTCAGAACTTACAGCCATTTCCAAGCAATGTGGACTGCATAGATGATAGACCATATGGAAGGGAGATATCATATCTGGAGTCAAATGTCTGAAATTACCTCTGTGTAGAGTATTGAGTTAGTTTCAATTGAGCCATTTAACCAAGTGGAAGCAGCAACATAAAAGCCCCAAAGAAGCCAGGGAGCTCTCATTAGGAACCTCTGTGTAGATGGCTAATTCATGAGCTTGCCCAGTGAGCAGTCAGTATGGGGATCAGCAGAGTGTGATCAGAAGCGGTTTGCCGTGATTTTGCACCTGATTAGCATAAATTTACTGCTTAATGGAACCCAATGTTTTCTGGAAACAATATTTGCATAAAATATGACTGACACTACACATTTATGTGAACATGAAGAAAGCAGCACAACCTGTGCTCTCTGTCCCTAAACTAGTATCCATGAATTGATCACTAAAGAGTACTGTGGCCAGGCCAGCCTTTGGTTAATATAGGAAAGAATATGTTCCAAGTTGCCCAAAGTTTACTATTGAAATATTAGGCGCTTCTGCTGGAAGGCTGTTCTAGCTAGCTCGGTTTGTCTTTTAGGTAGCAAAGCTGTTTGACCATTTCAAAGGACAGAGTTGACATTTCAGGGATCTTAAAGTACAGGTTACTTTCTGCCTGTTGTTAGTGAGGACTTACTTGTTATGAATCACTTCAACTGTGGGAGGATTTTGTGTGAGACTTGCTTTCATTGTAAGATAATAGTTTTCACTAAATAGTTAACTTCTGAACTAGCTTTCAGCAGTCATAAAGACACAGGATGGGGTGTTGTCATTTTTATTGTGAATGCTCAGTTCATATGGTTTAATATGTCTTGCAAATATTTTTATGTGGAAAAATTTAAATCTTTAATACTTACATCTTTAAATTTAGTGTCTGGATGCTTGATGTGGTAGATAGCAAATGGCTGTGACACTGGGGAGATGGAAGCCTCAAGACCTAGGTGTTCAAGGCCTGCAAGGGCTACAGGAGACCTTGTCTCAAAACCAAAACACAAATACCACAACAAGAAAGCAGAACTGTAATTGTGGTTATTTGAATGAGATGTGCCCACAGTCTCGGCACTGGAATAAATGGCCCCCAGTTGTTGGTGCTCTTTCAGCTGTTTTAGGAGGTGTGACCTTGCTGAGGGAGGCACATCACTGCTGCTGGGTTTAGAGCTTACAAAGCCCCCTGCTGCTCCCACTTTGCTGGGTTTCATGCTTGCAATTTGAGGTGTGAGTTCTCAGGTCATGTCCCAGGCCCCAGCCCCCAGACCCATCTTCCAGCTCCCAGCTGCCATTTTATCATCTATTAAGACAGAATGTTTTACTTAAGCTATTGCTTATGTAACTAACTAGATTTTTTTCTTTGAATGTCATTTCTACATAGTTTTTCTTTTCCTTTTCTTTTTTGAAATAGCTATGTAATATGCTGAAGAACACTTGCTCGTTCTATTTATCTCATAACTATTGATTTACTGAATTTATGAAATCTAATAAGTTTCCAGTTAACGGTTATAGTTTTTTTTTTTTCCCCCGGGAAGAATACAATATAACTCGTTTCCAATTTTGAAAAACTTCAGGATCTGCTTTAAATTTTATGTAGTTAGGGGAAACTCCTGGAAATATTCTAAATATTGGTGGAGACTGTGGACACTAATGGGAGTTACTAATAGAGTTTACTAAATGGGAGAATGTTATCCATTTTAGATACTTTTGCTTTTCTGAAAAGCCTTTCTACCTTAGCTAACTCCTCCCCTCGGGGCTCAGGGAACTCTGCCAGAGAGGAGGCAGAAAGATTCTAAGAGCCAGTGGGGATGGAAAGCGTCAAGGAAACGAGGCTGACTACACATAATATGATTGATACACAGGTGAACCCGCAGAGTCTGTGGCAGCATGAACAAGTCTAAGTTAGGTGGGGTTCCAGTGATGAGAGGGGAAATAGACACAAGCTCCTGTCCGTAACCCAGAAACCTTCTCCAATTACTAACTCCTCACAAATGCACAAATTAATTCTCTCCAAATTAATCACTCACTGGGTGTACAAACCACACTTGAAAGCAGACCCCATGCCCAGCAGTATGTAGCCAACACAAAAGGAACTCAATGGCATTTTTGGAAGGTTGGTTTTTTTTTGTTGTTGTTTTTTGTTTCTTCACAGTGGTTTGTCTGGGCTTTTTCACCCCCTGACAGATCTTTTCCTCATATATTATACTTTCTGATTTTCTTTTGTTAGTTTTCTCTGTGTGTGAATATGTGTGTTTGTGTTTTTCACCCCCTGACAGAACTTTTCCTCATATATTATACTTTCTGATTTTCTTTTATTAGTTTTCTCTGTGTGTGAATATGTATGTCTGTGTTTTTACTGTTTCTTGTGTTTTTCCTTTGTCCCCACCCATTTATTTTGTCCTATGTCAAGTTGTTTTGCTTTCTTCATTTTTTTCAGATGCCTGTCTGTATTCTAATGAGAGAGAGAGAGAAAGATGGGGTATGGATTTGTATGGCAGGGGATTTGGGGAGGACTAAAGAGAAATTGGGAGAGGGGAAACCATAACCAATACATTATATGAAAAAATCTATTTTCAATAAAAGAAATCTGAAACCAGGAGTAGGATTTACTTTCATCAAAATGATTATTAGCAGCTGGTGATATAATCAAATACTTAGTATGTTTGCTGTCGCAATTTATATAATATTTTACATGAAAACATTCATAATTAAAAGCTCTGTTTTCCAAGGAGATAATTCAGAATGCAAACCCAAGGGATCAGAACATGTAGCTGACCCGTCTGTCCTGTGGAGGTTGTGCTGCTGTGAGTTCTAAAATGGGAGCTGCCTGTTCATTTGTTTTGTTTCGAAATCATATTCCAAATCTAAAAACCAAACTGAAAAAAAAATTGAGACTGAATTTTTCTTATCTTTCATTTATTTGTTGCCTTGGGCTTAGACATGGATATTTAGTTTGGAAATTTTACTGTTTCACAAAAGGACTTGCTAATGTTTTTCTTTCACATAACTTACTTCTTCTCATACTGGTTTCAGGAAATTATCTGTGGCCAGCTCACTCGTTTGCTATTTTTGTTAGCATATGACTCATGTCCTTTTGTCTTCCTTCCTTCATTTGGTCTTAAATCATCTTAAAGGGAACCATGAAGGGATGGAATCTATATAGCAATGACAACAAACAAACTGTATAAACTTTGATATGTTTCTTGTGGTTACTATGACCAAAAGCAACTTGGGGGAGGAAAGGGTTTATTTCTTGGTTCCATATAACAGTTCATCAACAAAAGCAGTGATGCAGGAACTCATGCAGGGCAGGAACCTGGAGGAGACATGAGCTGATGCAGAGGCCATGGAGAGGTGCTGCTTACAGCGTGCTCCACTTGCTTCGTCAGTCTGTTTTCTTATAGAACCCAGGACCACCAGTCCAGAGTGGCACCACCTACAGAGGGCTGGGCCCTCCCACATAAATCACCAATTGAGAAAATGCCTTATAAATGCCTTATCTATAGTTGGATCTTATGGAGGCATTTTCTCAATTTAGGTTCCCTCCTTTCAGATAACTCAAGCATGTGTCAAGTTGACATAAAACTCGCCAGCATGCCATTGAGAGGATCATCTAACCAGTACTTTGCTATTAAATGACTTTAGGATCATTAAGGTATTTTGTGAGTTATCAGGGACTTAGAGAGGTTGAGGTTACTTATACCACCTTGCTAAGGGAAACACACAGCAACCACACCTACTTTGTCCCCAGCTTAGCATTTGCATCCTTTGGTTTACATTGTCTACAAAGTGTAACTGAGGTAAAGCAAGTGAATATATTTTCAAGGTCTGTTTACTAGAGAGTGTCTATTCAGACATGGCTTTAGGGAGAACAAAATAACTGTCTTTTCAGTAGGTGTTTATACTATTTATATTTAGATTAGATAACTACAAGAAATTTCATAATGGCAAATAGCATTGAATATGGTGGCTCTGGGTGACAAAACAGAAGATTGTGAACAATGAGTTAAAGTTGGGGAAACAATCACACTGTGAGGAAAAGAAATTCCACAGTTACCTTTTTATGAAAACACTACATTAAACATTATAATTTTAAAATGGTAGCCTCAGGGTGCTGGCCATCCAATGGAATAAGGAAATATTCAAAAGTAGTTTGAATCTCCTCTGTTACTAATTTATGGGTGGGACAAATTTATTTCATTCAACTTGAGGTTTGTTTGCTGATAAAATAGAAGTAATTATATATATATATATATATATATATTTCTGTGTGTGTATGTGTATATATAGAGGTACATGTGTACAGGGGTGTGTGTGTGTGTGTTCTTTAGTGTTTCGTTCCTTAGAAGACTCTGAGAATTAGCATGAACATCTGGGGCCTTCTCTGGGACCCTGGCTTCTTGGGTCCTGCTGTCGGAGGCACATGGTGGGAAGCTTTTGCCTGCTGGCAGTGCACGAACAGTATGGCCTGCGTGAGATGTGAAGCACTTACTTTTTGTTGTTGAATGACTTTCTTTGTTTTTGTTTGTTCTTTAATAATACTTGTATGATTTGGCATCAGAAGCTGTCAATTCTTTGTGCTGTTTGAAGGTTGAAATAAACATTATTGTGCCAAAAAAAAAAAAAAAGCTTTATGGGACACTGTCCACAAAACACCTGGGGAAGTTACCCAGGAGGAAGTTCACTTATTTATGGACTGCCTTTATTCACATTTCCATAGGCATTTCAGAATTCACTTATCAGCCACAAGATTGGTTCGTGTCTCGACATCTGTAGCTTCAGCACACAATGATGGGAAAATAAAGGTTAGTTTGAACACATCTAAAAAAAAATGAGGTGCCTTTACCTCATCTTCCTTTAGATTATGAATTGGAATCTACAGTTTAATATGACCTCCACTCAGGGATATTTCTCTTATAAGAAGTATGGCCCAGTCTAGCATACTGGGTCACACAGGATTTTGTGAAAGTCATTTGTTCCTTTTAAATTAAATGTTTAGCCCATGTCATTGCCTCCCTTGACATGTATGCTTTGAAAAGAACACACTCACATAGATGATTGCATAGCAACCTGCTTTGCCTCCAATTTCTCAAAACTTGCATCACAGTATATGGACTCCAAAGGTACAAGCCAGTCATGGTTTTATTGGCATTTTATCTTAAAATACTTAGAGAATACCTATTATAACACACTGAAAATAATTATAACAATCATCACAACTGTAATGTCAAAATGTGTGGTTTTATCTCTAGGACTGTTTCCAAACAGAATGTGTGTTGGGCTTGTTTCCTGCTTTTCATACTTGCTTACTTCATGAAACATGTTAAAATTGAGTTTTTAACAAGATGTTAGCCAGTAGAGAGGCACATTTTGGTTCAAGGGGTGGAGTTTTCATTGGGAATGGAAGTGACCAAATAAAAGAGCAGGCAGAGAGATGGGCAGGTCCCTTTGGACCAAGAACAAGTGGCAGATTTGGTGGTTGGTGGCTTGGTTGAGATTCCCATTTGTTTTGTGATATTTGTGCACAAGTTTTGCTTACTAGTAAATGGTAAAGTAATCCTTTGACCCTCCTTTATCATCTGGTGGTTAACCGGGGCCTTGCTGGAATAGGTGAGAGCTCATCTAGCTGACATGGCTGCTCTGCAGTCAGGTGAAAGCTGCTGCCTTCCCATGAGAGCTCATCTAGCTGACTTGGCTGCTCTGCAGTCAGGTGAAGGCTGCTGCCTTCCCAGATTGGTTCTGGTTAGCTCTGAGTAGATTATGAAGTCTACTTTCTAACTAAACAAACAACTATTAGATTTAGATATTTTACACTGGTAAAGATTCTTATATATTGATACAAATTTAAGCTTATTTTTGTTATACTATACATACATTTCTACTTCTCTAAGATATTTTTGTATATTGGTACATATTTAAGGATATTTTTGTCATATTTAAGGATATATGTCAACATGTATCTCTATTTCTGTTTAAAATATTTTTGGATATTGATATAAATTTAAGGATTTTTGGTATACTCTCTCTATATATGTTTCTACTTCTCTTTAAAATATTTTTGTATATCATTACAAATTGGAGGCTACTGTCCTTATACTGTACATCTGTTTCTATTTTTGTTTAAGGTATTATCTATATAGCTCATACCTACACAGCTTGTTTATTTTTGAAATGTGAATTTTTAGTCCTTAAAAGCCAGGTGAAGAGAGGTAGGAGGGAACATAAGAGCAAGGGAGGTCAAGATCATAATGGAGAAATCTACAGAGACAGCTGATCCAAGTTCATGGAAACTCATGAACTCTAGACCTACAACTATGAAGACTCCAAGGGACTGAAGCAGGCCTTCCATATGTGGGAGCTAGCTGTGAAGCTTGGACTAGCAGAGAGGCCCCTGGCAGTAGGATCACAATACAAACCAGGTATAAGAGTTATTTTGTTGGAGCCCATGCCTTAGGGTAAGATGCCATGCTCAGTCTTAATGCACGGGAGAGGGATCTGGCCCTTCCCCAACCTATTGTGCCAGACTATGTTGACTCCATATAGGAGCCCTTACTGGTGAGATGGAGTGGGCCAGGGATGGGCTAAGGGGGAGGGGAGGGGGCTGGGGAGAAGGTGAGGGGGTGGGAGGAGGGGTAGGAGGGAGAAATGTGGTTGGAATGTAAAATGAATTAAAAAATTTAAAAAATGGAAAAGAAAAAACTCTGTAGGATAATAAAATAAATACAGCTTAGTAGTTACCCATAATTATCAAATTACGGTCATGTTTTCTAAGTATACAGAGATGTTTCAAATAGATAGGTAATCTTCAAACACTTAAAAAATATAGCATTTTAAATGTTTTAATACCTAATACTTTTCTTAATATAAGAATCATATGCTCCTGGTGGCACCCATCTCCTTCTAAAGAGGATGAGGGGCACCAAAGATACTCTATAGGGAATTTGCTTTCTTTGTGGCACAATTCAAACTTTAGGGCAAGAAACTGCCCTTGCCTTGACTGCTGACAGTATGCTGTCCAAACTGGACAAGCCAGACACAAAGGAAAGCGACTGCCAAACTTTGCCAAAACATGATAGGATAGTCCTTCAAAATTTCCTGTTTCTGAAAAAGGTCTGTCAGATATTCTAAGACTGTAGGCCAAGGCTGGATGCCCCAATTTTGTAGAGGAAACTTGGGTGTTCAGGTAGGCAGTTTTATCTGTCATTTCTCACTTTTTTTTTGGAAATCACTTGCTTGCACTTCCTACTTTTACTCAGGCAATATTTTTTTCCTTCTCAGGTCTTTGATGGGGTTGAAGACTAGACAGTTACAGTGACAGTTCTTCTGAATGTTGCAAAAGACATATTAGGCACAAAACTTGGAACTCTTCAGGAAAGGACAGCTATTGGAGTAATGGTTATAAATTTGCCAATTACTGTGGACTGGACATTTAGAATGTATTTCGTACATAATAATTGTTCTTGTATGTAGTTTCATTATTGTTAAGATTATTACTTTTTCTTTCTATCTAAACAATACTTGATAATAATTCTTATTATATATTGTTTTATTATGTTAGGGTTAGAACCTTCCCTTCTTAAGTAGACAAAAAGGGGGGAAATGTTATGGAATTTCTCTCAGCAGTCCACTAACAAGTAGAGAGGAGCATTTTTGGTCTAAGGGACAGAGTTTTCATTGGGAATGGATGTGACCAAATGAAAAGGCAGAGCAGAGAGATGCACAGGCCCTTTTGGATTGGGAATGAGTGGCAGATTCAGCAGCTGGTGGCTTAGTTGAGATTCCCATTTGTCTTGTGGTATTTGTGCATGGATTTTGCTTACTAATAAATGGTAAAAAAAAGTAATCCTTTGACCCTCCTTTATTGTACTAAGACACAAAACCTTTCCTAACACTGACTCCCAGTACAGAATTTCCAAGTTTGGCTCCAGAATTCTGGCTCTCCACCTGTTGGAAGATACACTGAGGCAGTGGATAGAGCAGACGAGTAGATCACTGATAGAAGAGACTTTTGGAGAAAGTCATGCCATGAGCTACACACCTGGGGAGAGTGGGCACTTATACTTCCTGACCAATTCTGACTGTGAGAAGGCTTCTGTGGCACATGGGAAGCTTCATTGACTTCTTATGATCTATACACAGAAGGCAGAAAATGCTAGCTGGTGTATGGGTGATGGAGCCAATAAGAGGCAATGTCAGGAATTTTCTGTACTTTTATAATTCAGTTTTCCATGGGAAGAGATGTGTCTGCATTTGTTATAGATCCAGTATTGTGCTGAAAAGTGAATTCTGAAACAGACACACATGCACACACACAGAGTGAAGAGGAAGGAGGGGACATGAGGGCAGAGGTGGGGAGAGGTGGGAAGGAGAGAAGCAATTTTCTCACCCTTGCCTTGTGCCATTTGATTTCTGTGGTATAAACATGTCTGTTATGACCCATGGAGTCTTCCAACTTGACATCATTGAGCCTATTGTGCTTAAAACAGGAGAGGACAAAGGAGGATCAAGAGAGAGTCAGGGAAATGGAGGGAAGATCAGAAGTATAAAACAGTTGATCTCAGCTTTGGAAAAATGGAGAATTTATAAAACTATTTGCAACAGAATTATTTCCTCTCAGAATAAAAAAAAATACCCTGCAGGTTGAATAGGTAGTCAAGACATTTTGCAGCCCCTAGTGGAATGTTGAAAATCTGCTTTACAAACCCATTCAAGGCAGAGGGTGTGAAGCCTTATAGTAACTGTGCCCAAAGCAGAAGCCAAACCAGCAGATTTTGAGATGCACACTGAAGCTGTAGACAAAGAGAAATTTAATGTTCAATCCAGTTTGAAATTTTCTGATAGTGCAGCCTCCCAGGCCTCTTCTTACCTACAGGGGATTATGGGCAGGCCCAACCTTCTACAGGTTTTGTGCAAGTAACCATGGGAGCAGTGAGCACATGGATACCAGGCCACCTGCTGCTTAGAAGACTGCACACTCCCCTCCCCATTCTCCACCTCTTTGCAATCTTTCTATTCCTCTTTTGTGCTGTTCCCTGAACCTTGGAGGAAGTGATGGAAGTCACATTTAGAGTTGAGCACTCCACAGTCATTCATTCTCAGCACTCTGAACTTGGAGTCTCTGCATTAATTATTGTCCTCTACAAGGAGAAGCTTCTCTGGACAAGCTCGGGGGTGGTGGGGTGGGGGTGGCTTAACTATTAATTGATGATTATAAATATAAATATTTTAGGAGACAGTTTTACAACATGTCCATTAAGCCACACAACAGTAGTAGGTTATGTGCTAGAGGTTGTGACTTCCTCAGCCATGACTTTAGACACCACTGACAGTGTTGGGCATGGGTTCCTTCCATGGAATAGACCTCAATTCCTATAAAAGAGTCACTGGTGATGCTTTGACATCCATATCCCTGCTTCATCTTGCCTGGAAGGTCAATATTGTAGCATAGAACATCTACTGCAGGACAAGACTGCTGATGACCTTTCTCCCCCAGTGCCCTGTGTAGTGCCTGCTGGCATTGGGAAAGCAAGCCAACAGGGAGGAAACTTGTAGTCAAAATTCCGATTATTGGAGTGGAAATGCTAATGACTAAGTTGATGTATTTGTCTTATTTGTCTTTTTTTTTTTTTTTTGGTTTTTTCGAGACAGGGTTTCTTCTCTGTTTAGCTTTGGAGCCTATGCTGGCACTTGCTCTGTGGACCAGGCTGGCCTTGAACTCACAGAGATCCACCTGCCTCTGCCTCCCTAGTGCTGGGATTAAAGGCATGCGCCACCAATGCCTGGCTAAGGATATATTTGTCTTAAAGTGGCCACATGACTGTTTATTTTCAAAGAGAGACCCTGAATGTTTTCATCTGATCCTACAGGAAATCCTTCCTACAGAATGTAGTTTAAGAGACAATTTTGGAATAGACATGTTACTTTTCATTTAGGGCCATGAAATGTGTTGGTTCAGAACAAAAGTCACACTCATATAACTATGCATTCATATATGTATGGCAAGACTTCACTGATAGGTCAAACTTCGCTCCGCACTGGGTATGTACTTGGACATAGTCTTTATAAGGTAGATATAGCATTAATGTACATGTTTTTATGCATATGTTTTATGTGTATATATATTTCCATTGTGTGTCCTGTGTGAGCATGTGTATGGATGCTAGGGGATGATGTTGGATAGTTTCCTGAGTTGTTCCTCACCTCATTTTTATTTGTGACAGAGGCTCTCATGAACATAGAATTCACTGATTAGCTAGGCTCTCACTGATTGGCTGCTGTCTTCATGTCCCCTGTCTGAAATTATAGATGTCTACTCACATCCAATATTTTATGTGTGTGCTGGGGATTGAACTGAGGTTCCCTGCTTTACTGAGACTGCTATATCCCTAGCCCAGACTTGCATATGTTTTGTAGTAAGTCTGGACATGTAATAAATCTTCTCCTTGTGGCATCTTGATTTGTCATAAGCATATGATATGCACGTACATACATGTCTCTTGAGTTTTCTGGCAACTTTACAAATGATTTACTCCCCCAAACTAAAGACCATTTCTTCTACTTTGTAAAGTTCTCTTCTCAACTAAAACCTCTGAAATCTCATTCCCTAGTAGAGAGTATATTTAACTAATGCTTGTTAAAAGAATGGAAGTAAACTTTGTTTTCAGTGGGTGTTGGTTGTTAAGTCAGGAATAAAAAAATGCACATAAAAGGGAAGGAAAAGAATATGCATGTCTCTATTTAAGCTTGGCTAAACATGCCTCTTTTCTGGAGAATATTACAGGTAGAAAATAATATGAAACCTCCTTATTATGTTGTTTTCTTGAAAATGGCCATGTTTTCAAAGAATATAGCCACTGAATTTATTTTAAAAATTAATGTATTTTAGGCTTGTGAATATGGGCCCAGTGGCAGAGTACTTGTTTGTCATGCACAAACCCCAGGTTCAAACCACAACACTACAAAGAATGAGTGCATTTAGAAGCCAGTGTGATAGCTCTGTGGTAAAGACACTATCTGCATACCATTAATCTGACTTTTATCTTGGAACCTATGTAAATGAAAGATAGGACAAACTCAGTAAAATTTCCTCTTTCTCATGTGCCCACGGCACATGCATACACACCCACATCATACACAATCAGTGAAATAAAATAAAAAATATTTAAATTGGTATATTTCATGTATATACATGACAATATTTCAGTTGTTGGTTTCCAAATGAACACAGAAGTTTCAAGTCATTCATCACGGAAGGAAAAATGAGTGGCAAAAGTCATTTTTATAAAAATGTTATACACTGGACATATTTAACAATATTTGATTTTTAGAGACTGAATATTGCTATGCTTTAGTTTTCAATTAGATTGTTTTTATCATGCTATAAAACTCTAGGAAGAGGTTGGTAGGATTTCATTAGTATGATAGATGAACTTACAACCACACTGCTACCACAATGTCTCTGCACAGTGTTCCATCTGTGGTAGATGCTCAAAGACACAGAGTAATGTTTTTATGTCCAGTAATAGGACATTAGGAATAAAGTAAGTTATGTTTATGTAACAGCTGATATCAGAATCCTCCTTAAAAATGATGTTACTTTAAGAGGTCTCTGGGTAAAAGGTTAGATGCCCAACTTTGATATTGGCTGGTTACCAGGGTTGGGAAAAAAGGCAGACAATAACCATCTTTAACAGAGAATGGGAAAATACATTTATTCTTCTGAGAGTGGGAGGAGAGATGGTAGAATAGATAGAATGGGTTGTAGCAGAAAAAACCAACATGAGGAGAGCATTGGATTACACTAGTGAAGGGCCAGGGCAGTCCCTTGTGCCAATATAACTGAAGGCATTTTTTAAGCTGACTGACACATGTTATTTATTTCAATTGATATTGCAGCTGGAACATTAGAAAAAACCCAAAAGTCAAAATGTTAACATTTCCCCCCCATTCTGGAAACCTTTGATGCAAAATATATTCCTTTGACTTCTGATTATATTAGTTTGTTTTATAGAAAACAAAGCAGAAATTTCAAGTTTAGAATGGCATACAGGGAGAGCAAGAATGGCAGCAGAGTGCTAAGTGACCCAGGATCCAAGGAGCCTTTCACTCTCCTAAACCAAAATTTAGGAACTGAGGAGAAGATGGTGAAGATTTTATAGTTAAAACGTCTGTAGACTTGTTAGAAGGAAATTGTTAGGTCAAGTTGATGAACTACTAAATGATTGTCTCCTCAGTTGTAGTAATGTCTATTGCCTCCATTTATTTTTAGCTGTTTTTTAACAGCTAAAACAATTCTCTTTCTTTTTTCTCTTTCTTTCTTTTTCAAACAGGATACCTAACAAGTTTTTGGCAAATACCACACATTTCTCACAGCAGTCCCTTCTGAAGTATCCCTTAGGACGTAGGGAGCAGTATTCCTGGGGAAGGGTAGCCTGGCAGAGCATCTGACTTCCCTCACCAGCAAGTAATGACAACAAATAATTGCGATCAGCTGCTCTGTCAGCCAGTGTGGCAACATCTGCATGCCCACTGCTCAACATTAGTGTCACCAGACACGGAAATCAGGAATCAATGAGCCGGAAAAACCCTGTCTTAATGCTCATTTCCGTCTTACTTATTCTACTTCATGAAAGTAAACCACTCACTATGAAGGAAAAGGACACAAGATTTCTTTTTCCCATCTCCCTTGTAGGTGATTGGGCCTTAAAGCTGGGGCCTGCTATGTGAGGGCCATGCTCTACTACTGAGTGACTCACCCATTGGACAAGATGGCTATTTTTTTTCAACTTTTTTTTTTTTAATTTGAATTAGTAACAGGATTGTTTTAAATGACAATCCCAGTTCCCTTCTCCCACCAGTCCTCCCCTACCGACATCATCCCAGCTAAAACCCTATCTATCACATATCCTTTCTGCTCCCCCTGGATGGTGAGGCCTTCCATAGGGTGTCATCAAAGTCTGCCATATCCTTGGGATAGGGCCTAGGCCCACCCCCGTGTGTCTTGGCTCAGGGAGTATTCTTCTATATGAAATGGGCTCCCAAAGTCCACACCTATGCTAGGGATAAGTACTGAACTTCTACAGGAGGTCCCGTAGATTTCCGAGGTTTCCTCACAGAAACCCATGTTCTTGGGGTCTGGATCAGTCCCATGCTGGTACTCCAGCTATCAGTCTGGGGAGCAAGAGTTCCCCGATGTTCAG